TAATGTAAAATAAATATAACTTTACGGTGTCACAGTTCTCAAATAAATTTACTTCCTGGCCTTAAATTAATTAATTTTAATTCTTGACATTTTTATAGTTATACTGTGATCACTATGGCTATGGACATGGACTTATTTTAACAATGACAAATCCATCGTAGAAATCGGGGGAGGGGTTGACACCATGAGTTTACCGCAGCGAGTGGCATCAACCCTAGCTACTCCACTGCTACTGCCCATCAAAAATATTTTTAAAAAAATAATATTAAATCAACCAAAAATTTTGAAGACTTTTCAAACAGTCTTGTTGAATTTGTGTAATTAAATAAAATTATTATTTTATTAAAGCGAATTTATTTAATCGTATGCGGAATAGTACCAAAACAAAATTCAAAATCAACACATTGGTTTATTTCCGGTTTAGACAAAAATGACAATAATCATTATCATGCATTAATTTAAAATACAGGGTGTATTAGAAAGCTTTTAAAATATTCTAAAATATTGTAAGAATCCGAGTAATTGTTTTAGAGGTTTAAATAAAAGCATATAGTTTTTATATTAAACATACACATATCAATTATGGAGCAACTGCAATGCCCGAATCATTCTAGTAAGTAATTTTTTTATTTTGTTTTAAATGTAACTGAATACTATGAATTGAATTATAATGAATCATAGTATGATGACACTATATAGAGTATAGCCTATAGTCATAGTCTATCTATACTATAGACTATAACTTTATAACTATAAGTTTAAGACTATAGGCTATATAAATTTATTAGATAATAATAATAGATAGTGATAGATCTATAGTCTATACCTATAATAATACTGTCTATTCTATTCTATTATACTAATTATAGTTTAAATTATAGTCTATAGTATTAGTCACTATAGACACTATAGTATAGTATACTATAGTCTTATACTAAAACTGACTAAAAGTTAAGACTATTTTATACTATAAACTGTATCATAGTAAATTTTAAATAGACTATGACTATACCTATAACTATATTTATATGCCTACTACCAATGATACTATGCCTATACTGATAGCAATTGTTGATTGTATGATAGTATTTTTAGTTTATATAAGTAATATAACTTTTATTTAGTCATTTTATCAATTTAGTTATAACTTACTAACTACTTTACTTTACAAATTTTACATTATTATGGAAATGGCCAGTTTAGGTGCCCCAGCCCTAATACTAATACTAATTCAAATTCACAGCGTTAATTTAAGCACAAATAGTATTAGTATGATGAAATCAGGATTGTTATTTATCCACACCTCACACTTTGCACACACTCCTCTCGCATGAAGTTTCACCGTTCTACAGCAGTTTGGCAACTGTCCATGTCAGCCTCATGGTGCCTGTTCCATATCGTGACTCTTAAAAGATCAATATTATCTCATCTGCTTCAGTGACCTGTCTCTTAAGACTTAAGAAAGAACCATGTCCTTTACTGCCTTTAGACTTAATGAAATCACAGTAATGGCTCTGCAATCTTTAACCGTCTGCGCTACCGCTGTGGGCGTTTAGATGGTGAGGCTGTTGGCCAAACAGGACAGGGGAACGTGTTAGCGATTAGTCCAGGTTCAGCTAGCAAACATATGCATATTTTTATATCAGATATTTCCGACAAGAGCGACAACAGGTTGCACTTGTCATTTCGCTGATGCATTTTGATAATTGCTTTTAATTGACAATGGTTGTCAAAGCACTCTGTCTTCCAGGTAGTTTTACTTCGGAAATTAATTATTTAAATTATATATTTTAACTAGACAACCAGAAGTTGTACAATATTCAATATATATCGGTACATTTGAATTTGGGCACCTAAACTGGACAATACATAAGTATTTTACTGTTACTATTATTGGCATAGTTTTGACTCAATAATATTGACACATCTGCCTGATTTAGTTCATTTAATGTAATTGTTAGTGATTAGTAAGGTGCAGGCCCTATCAGTCTATGTGATGTCAGAGGGCCATTTATAAAAGACATCACTTAATTTTAGACTGCCCCTCCCATTGTCACAATTTTTAAAAGGCAAAATTTAATACATAAGAATACGAAGGTCACAAATTACTTTGCCCAGGGCCCCTGTTGCTGTTAAGATGGCCCTGACTAAGCCCACTTAATTAGTTAATAGTAATTAACTTAAATGTAATATTGCTCACTTTATTAATATTATTTTATTCCAAGCTTTGTAACAAAAGTGGCTTAAAATAAAATGAGTTAGCACATCCCAAAAGATTATAATTTAAATAATAAAATTAATAATTTATTTCTTTTGCAATGATTACTTTGGAGAACTTAATTATTCATGAATAGAAACATTTATTGCTATCTAGTATGCTCTATAAACACAAGATTCAAATAAAATTTTTGCAAAATCTTGTTCAGTTTATATAAATATTGTATGATTAGTTTTTTTTTTAAACTTTCAGATTCATACTGTATGCTTAAAACTGGTACTAAGCCGGGTCCTTCTAAAGGAATCAGTTTTTATGTATGCAGCCATTGCAATTACACCAAAGTTACTAAGTAAGTTAAAACCCATTAAAGCTCATGTGACAACCTGCATCATAGTTTACTATAAAAAATAACAGTCATTTAAATTCTGACTAAAAAAGTCTTAATATACCTTCATAAATTGTACAGGTTTTAAAATTGGAAGTTATTTCATTCCATATAAAAATTAAATGTAATAAGTGTTATGTTTTGTGCTGACCAAATATCAGCTTGTACTTGTGGAAATTAGAAGTGATGGTTGTGTAGTTAAACTATTATTTAAAAATTATCAAACCTAAGTTTAGTCTGCAGTAGCTTTTTTAAAGCTAATTCTCAAAAGTTGTATGTCTCAGTTACAAAATGAATTTTATGATGTGCGTACTTCATAGATATTATACTTTATTTATAATCTATTAAGCTGCTTGGATAAGAGAAAAGAAGAGAGTTGTGCAGGGTGAACTGTCAAACAAAAAGTATTAAGTTTTGAGAAGAATGAAAAGTTTTAAAATCAATATTTAGTACTTCTTGTGATTTAGATCCTGCAGTAATTTGAAAAGCAGTTTTTTAGATGATGTATGTCTTTTCCTTATTTTGTTAGAAATTTGATAGTGTTTTTATTTTATTAAAAAAATGTATTCACTTCTCTCCCATCAGCACACACTTACTCTTACACAACTTCATTTCCCATTTTTTTATGGAGGAGAAATTCATTGTTGATTAGTTTTTATTAAAAGGCTTTAAGTTATTGTCTTTCTCTTCTTGAAATTAGGCTTCCTCCTGTTCCATGTGCTAAACACCCTTCTGAAACTGTTGAATTGCAGTCTATCTTTACTACATCACCAGGAGAAATAAGGTACTCTTGTGTTTGATTTTTATGTTTGAATTGTGAAAGTTTTCCCATGTGTTTAAAAGCGATAGCAGTTGCAGAAAAGGATTTTTTTTCAAAGTAATAATATTACAAATATTTAAACACATCAGTCTGTCAATTTGTTACCAAGTAATATGGGTAATAAATAATTATACCAACCACAAATGGGTGTCAGGAGCACCATATAACTGGGGACTATTAAAATATCATATAGGTAGGGCTGGGAGTGTGGTCTGTGTAGGAGATTTTTGCAAATTAAAGTTGGAGAGGGGTGATGTAAACATACAAAAAAGTACAACTAAGTTTTGGCATTTTATGATGCCATTAAAAATATGCTCTGCCTGTGGCTCCTAAAATACTTTCTTTAATAATTTTTAAAATTTTAAATAAAAATTTGGACTTTAAACAAAATAATTTTTTTTTAATGGTTGGTTTTTTTTCCTAGACAATACTTTCGGTGCCTGAGTAGACAGGCTAGTGAGTCATGGTGTGGTTATGAAAAATTTGCAAAGGTCAGTAATTTATTCTAACATCTCAAAATTGTTAGCTATTTATGCTTTGCTCATAAATGTATAATGCATATCAGGGATCATATAAAGGCTAAACCATTGTTAGAAACAGGAAGAAATTTTTTTCCCTGACAGTGTGACATCATAAATAATTTTTAGGGGTGTGCCGGATCCGTTTTTTCCAACCGGATCCGGATTTTCTTATGCGAAATCCGCCGGGATAATCGGGATTCCGGTTTCTCCCGGATTTTGGTACTTTGCAGATACCGGTAAATCTGAGGGGTTGGATGCCTTCTGAAGAGTTGGCCTAAATGGCTAAATGACATTGGCTGATTGGAAGTTGGAAGTGAAGAACTTTGAAATAAATTAGAAAATAGAAATTATTCAGAAATCACTGAAATCAGAATAAAACGCAGATTGATAATAAGTTATTATCCATATGTAACTAAACTCGCTGTTAAGTTCTAACTCGCTGCAAGGTCAAAGGAAAACAACTTTACTATTAGTCTATTACTTTCATTACTTTGGCACTTGCCACTTGGCAGTGTAATTTTTAACTATTGTAGTGCACTAATTGTTTTGAATCTGAGGAGAAAGTCAGACTCATCATCTGAGTTCATCTCGTCTTGTCATTGGCTCATTGGATGATGGATGCTTATTGCTTATTGTTATTGTTCAAATGTTCATAGTTTATGATGTGTATTGAAATGGATAATTAATTGGAAAAAACAAATAACAAGATTGAATTGAATTGAGATTTGAGAACAATAATTCTGTATTTCTGTACTTTACAAGTTTGAAAATTGAAATACAGATTTTAATGAATTCAATTGGCATTTGACAAAGCCATTATTCAAGCCTAAAGAAGTAAGAATAAGATGTTGATAACTAACTAATGACTATTAGTTTGTTAACAGTGTTAAGTTACTCCAAGTCCACAGCCAAATAATGTACACATTCCAGTGATGCCACACAATCACAAATTCACAAATCACAATTTCACACTGCAGAACAAAATAATATACAAAGATTACAAACATTTATGAAAACAAGCAGTACCTTAAACTAAATGAATAACATAATTATCCATCATTTATGTTTGAAGCTGGGTAAATTTTTGTTAAGAAACAACAATTTCTCAGCCAAGTCAGGGTCTAAGCGGCTTCTCAAATCACTGACTATGTTCCCGGCAGTGCTGAACATCCGCTCACTGTACACGGAAGAGGCCGGTGATGCCAGCACCTTCCTTGCAACAAGAGCCATAGTGGGGTAAATTGGTGCATTCTGAAGCCACCAGATGCACGGATCTTCAGGTGGCTTAGTCTTTGCCTCCAACGCAGAGCTGGTGTACTTCGTAAATTCACCCTTAATAATTTCTTTGACTGCTGAAATGTTTGTCGTACTTGTTGATGAAGTCGACGTTGTCTCGTAGCCCTGAGTCAGCTCAGACCAGATTGCAGCCTCCCAGTCGTCATCAGCTGCAGGTTCAAGTTCAACGGTGGTGGAGGTTGAGGTGGAACTTGATGGCACCGTACCCTCTTCTCCGTCGCTCATAGTTTCCTCTTCATCTTGCGGTTCAGTTTGTTGTTGAGTTTGTTGACCATCTCCGTCTCCAGCAGGACTAGCACCTTCATCATCCTCATATTCATTTTTCATTGTAGCCAACTAATAAAACCATGAAACAAATACTAAATAGTGAATTTATTACTTATGTAAACAGTAATAGCAATAGCATTCTAGCAAAATTGCAAAATTTGTAAATTGTAATAAGTTGTTTCCACTTTCCACATCTAAATGAAGTTAAGATGTCAAGAATGATGACTGATTGATGAGAAATTAATTTAAATAAAATAAAATTATTCAACAAAACTTACGCTTGAAGTTAAACTGACCTTCAATGCTTCTTCAACTAGCCATCGCTCAGCACGTTTTTTGCCAGTTTCTGAGAAGCAGCATAGCTTGTACGTTGGTGTGAGCAAGGTGGCAAGAACGCAGTATTTAGACATCTCGATATCGCTAAAGCGTCGCTTCAAACAGCTTACCATGAATTCTCGCATGCTACCCACTCCCCTGACGTCATCACGGAAGTGATCTGTGCCCTTCTCCAGAAATTTAATCAGTGAAGTTACACTAGGGATGATCATTCCAACTGTACAATTGTCACTGCTCGCCTCGATGGTTTTCTCCTGGAACGGTTTGAGCGTGAAGACGATTTTCTGTGCGATCGACCACTGGTGAGGCGTGAAACACTTGAATGATTCGACATCGGCAGCATATAGGATAAGCGCGTTTTTCAGAACTAAAAGCCTTTCCAGCATATAAAACGATGAATTCCAACGCGTTGGAACATCTTGAATGACACGAAGCTCTTTGCCAGGTGGAACACGGCAATCACGTTGAAACTGATCCAGAGCTGAAGTAGCACTGGTAGAGTGACGGAAATGGGATACCATTCCTCTTGCAACAGCGAGGCAGTCCACTACAGTTCTCTGCTGCTTGAGTCCGTCATTGACAGTCAGTTGAATGGTGTGAATAAAGCAAGGTTGAGCCTCTATCTTCATAAGACTGGTAGCTTTGCCCATAGCTGCAGCGTTATCACGCAGCATCAAACCTCGTCTAGCTGAAAGAATTTTCCACTTGTCCATGAGAGAGCTTAATGTAGTCGAAATGACATCAGCAGTGTGACGTTCTGTAACAGACTGTAATGACAAGAGGGCCGACTTTCGCTGCCAGGCTTGGTCAATCCAATGGGCAGTGAGCGACAGAAAGCCATTGAGGTTATTCTGACTGGTCCATCCATCGCTTGTGAAATTGATTGAATTGGCCAAATTCAGCTGAAAAGTAAAAACAGTTAAGATTGAAAATTGAAAACAAGTTAAACATTAAACAACAAACCGAAACCGTACAAAACTACAAACGAATTCAAACGTCAACACTCAACAAGAAATTGTCTTGAATAACACTGGAAATAAATTGTCCCCCGAGTATTGCTAACAGATAGTAATAGTAATTGTTTTGTAATGTTGTGGACTTGTGGTTAACAGTTATGCCACCATTAAATTACTAAAAATAATTGATTATTTTAACAAAATGTAAAATATTTCAATTAATTGAAAATATTAGTGATATTACTAAACTGTAAGTCTGTGGTAATTATAAACAAAATAATTAAATAAATTATATTTATATTAGTATTTTAATATTTGTAATTTATTATTATTTTAATCTTTTTTAATATTTATTAACTAAAAGACAGTTAAAAGACACTAGTATTAATTGTTAAAAATTATTACAGCTGTATAAGTATTCTCTTACCTCAGCCATAAGGTTCTTTGCGACCTCATCATACAAGTCGGGAATTACGGTACGAGAAAAGCATGTCCGGTCTGGCATATGGTACCTCGGCTCTAGGAAGTTCATCAGTTGATTGAAACCAGTGTCAGTGACCATTGAGAAAGGCTGAACGTCAAGAGCGATCATCTCGCCAATCAAGCGAGTAATTTTAATCTGCCTCGGGTCGTTCATATTGAAACTTTTCTTTCCATCAATGAAGCTGAAAAATGTTGGCTGTTTCAGTTTCGGCTGAGAGCCTGAGTCATCGTCATCTGGAGACCTCTTACGTGCCCTTTCAAGTTCGCTTTGCGCCATCTCCCTTCCATACTCAATAAACACATCGGTGTGTTTTCTTCGCAGATGGGAGGTTAAAGCCGACGTTCCGTAACTTCGTGGGTCTTTTCCACCCCTAGATATTTTTAAACTGCATGTATTGCAGTTAACATAAGCTTCATCCACTGAGTTAATAGTAAAATATTTCCAGATGGCACTGCGTTTCTTGCTGGTCTTGGTCCCGCTCCCGCTACCTACATTCGAAGCCATGATGGTCCCACGGCTCAATTTAAATTTATAAAGTTTTAAAGTATAAACTCCACTCCAATTTCAAGCATTCAATATGGCGACATATTTTGTAACAGCTGAGCCCCGCGGGCCGCGGCTACGTCATACCGTCGTTTAAAGCAAAGATCAAAGCGCAAGCGAGAATCGCCGAAGATGGCTTGGTGCAGACCTGTTTACTCTTACGATTTTGGCGTACAATGTACGATTTTGAGATGTCTTTTACGATTGTACGCCGAGACCCGCCAAAACTACGATTTTCAGAGAGCCGGTGAAAAAAAAAATTTTCCGATTAAAATTCGTTTGTTGAAGTTTTAAGCCTTTTTCAATAAAAATCTAATGGTGAATGGAACGAGAAGAACGATTGGTTGTAATTTTTGTTTAAAGTTGGGACCATCCTTCATTATATTATGTACGAACTGAGAGGGGAGGTGGGGTTTGTTAATGAAGGAGATTTGCGGCATACGGGACGCATGGGTGGGGGGTTGGTCGGAGTGTCAAAGGTTATAAAAATATCACCGCAACGTATCGTATTGATGGCGATGATTGTCCTACTGTTGCTTTGTGTGTCACACTGAACTAGTTAGCTGCGTCACCGGTAATATTTATACTATTCACTGCCCCCCCCCCCCCTTTTGGCTGCTACCCAGCGTGTGACGTAGTTTTGTTCCCTTGAACCGCGGGGATTGTGAAAACGGAGAAAACTAGAGACGAGATGTAAAAATCAAATACTTGATCCCACTGTTCTGCACTGGAATGTTGGACTTTTATTTCAGATTATGATCCGGTGAGTCACAAAATCTGGCAAATTCCGAAATCCGGTATATTCCGGATACCGGAATCCGGTTGTTCCGGATACATGTAAATCCGGCGGAACCGGATTTCACCGGATAGTGCAAAATCCGGCGGAACCGGATTCCGGACCGGGGTCCGGCACACCCCTACTAGAGGCTAGAGTACCTGTAGGTGACAACAAACCTGCCACAAGAATAAGCTATTTATTATTATTATGTAAATATTTTTCGCAGCACATGCACTTACTTCTTTTGATACTTCATGCATTGATTTGGTAATTTCTAGCCGAGATGGATTTCTCCTGGCAACAAGCTTTATCTTTGCCTGGCATCCCAATTTCAATTTGAAAGAACTGAAAAATATAAAAATTCTCAACGAATTGCCAAAAGTGGAAAGGACTAATGTAGAGCACGAATTCCACGGCGTCATTTGCTTCTTTATTATAGTTTCAGTGAATTAGGGTTTAGGTTAGGTTGAGAGGTCGATTTAGGTAGATACTTCGATAAAACAAGGGAGACTAATACTTTTTTTGTATCGGAAATGGGCGTCGGCGCCGAAAAATCCGAGTTTTTAATTTTCCGATGTGTGTGTCTATTTATTATTAAATTAGTTCTTTGGACATATATTTGAGTTCCGTTTCCGGCCTTATAATTTGGAAGACATCTTGGCCTACATTTCCATCCAACTATTTTGCTTTTTCAATCGACCTTTATTTTGGAAATCTTTGGTATATATAAGGCATCTTCGCATGCAAAATTTTTTGTGAAATATAAAATACAGGTCTTTCATATTAAATCGTGTAAGGCATCAGATATTGATATATATCTGTGCCAATTCTCATTGATGTAGGTCGTGTCCCACGTTCGCTACGCTTCTCCCAGTGACCCATATCACCATAAGGGGGCTCCGCCTTATTTCGACATGGCGTGGGCCACGCCCCCTTTTTAATGGCGGAAGTTGCCGATACTTAGGAAATATTTAATTATTACCACTATATACATCAAAATATTTTATATTTTGTGTTTCAGAATGCATTTTGAAGACATTTAAACTGGAAATGTTTTAATTTGAGCTTTAAAAACCCTGCAGAGTCCATATTATAAATGATCAGAATTTTCCCTGTGCAACACGTTGTCATTGGCAACCATTCACAGCCACTTGCATAACGGCTACGTCGTAGTACTATCTCAGAGTTTCATTCATAAGTGTTTGCCGTGTGCAAAAACTATTAAACCATTGGTCAGGGAAAGCTTTAATTAATTATTCATGTGCCAAAGTTGAAAGTTTAAAATAAATCGACCCTAAACAGTATTTTAGTGATAAGGGAATGCCTTAGCCTTATATAAACTATATAGTCATTGCGCATGACGCGATCGGCGGAATGAGGTCACAGAATGTGGAGATGCAGTCCATGTTAAAAAAGGACAAACCAAGTCGTACTTTAAAAATTCATAACTTTAAAACTACAACAGCTAAAAATATGATTTTGGTGTTATAATTCTGTTTACAATTAGCTCTATTCAACTGTGCCATTGGTTTATTTTTAAAAAAATGTTTACATTTTTGACCAAAGTATCTAATTTAGGGTTCAGGTTAGGCATAGCATGGCATAGTGATCGATTTAGGGATACATTAGTCGCGGCCATCGATAAAATAGTGGCATTCGTCCTCTACATTTACCGTGGTAATAATCATTGGCTTGGAGAAAGAATTATTACATGACAAGACCAACTAAATTTAAAGTTAACCTATTATTATTACTTTATTACTTACGCTTGTGATTTTCTTTGGCCTGTTGTCGTTGAAGACTTTGACTTGCGTTTAACGCCTTGTTTGCAACAGTGAATTATATTCATATTTAAGGTGTTCCAAATGGGGATCTTTCATCTTCTCTGACGATCTTTTAGTGAAACACACATTGTGTTCTTTACAAAAATAATTCAATTCGTCTTCAAAAGACGCATAGGTGTCAAAAATGCTGCCAACCTCCATTTTTATAAAAGAATGCGCGGCAAACTTGTCGATTATTAAGCCTCTGGTTACGGATCATGGTTTTTTTTCGATTAATAAGACTTTCGGGTGCGAATAGTCATGGGCAATGAGGGGTACTCGGGTACCTATAGCCACTTCGTAAATGAAATATATCAAACGTAGAGATCGATTCCACTAATTATATTAGCTTTAAGGCACCCGATAAAATTCTTTAAAAAAAATCACAATTAAGTACTTTTTAATAAAAAATATATAATCGTCATATTGTTGTACACATTTTGCTCCGTGGAGGGGGGCACTTGACTTTCCCCCGGGGGCGGGGGGGGCAATGCCCCATCGGAGAGATGGCTGAAAGAAACAATTATAGCTTCCTGCCACTTACGAACACTTCAATCAGTGTTGAATCTTGGTCAAAATGGTGTTTTTTCTGACCTAACTATAGGGCCACCTCATTTATGAAGCATTAACCTTGAACTTTTAATAAAGCACGCATTTGGATTGGTTACGTGTGTTGAAATTTAACGTGTTATCCTTTTATGAAATTTGGTTAGACCGAACAGTGTGGAGCAGTGTGTGCCGTGTAAATTTGCATTTTTTTTTTTCAATTTTGTGTCACGCCTGAGATGGTGTCAACCAGTACGGTCCACACCCTCGAACCCCGCTAGATACGCCACTGGCTTAGGGCAACAGAAGAAAGGGGGCAACACACACAAAAAACTAAATTTTTATATTATATATATATATATATATATATATAATATATACAGTGCTTTTTTTGTAAAAAAAAAATAGGTGCCGGTACACAGTGATGGATTGCCTAACTTTTAAAAACCAGTTCGCACCTCGATGCAAGCTAAATCACAACTGCAAAGATAGGCCCTACTTAATGTCAATAATAACAATTTTATTTTATAATTAACCAACTTAAATTGTTTTACTATTACTTTATTAGTATACCGTATTAATTAATAATAAATGTTAAAATACAAGAAAAGTAATAATTTTTTCCCCATATTGAAAAAGGTGCCGGTACGCTGTACCGGTGCGTATCGCCACAAAAAAAAAAAAAACACTGTATATATATTTATCATTTATTTCCCACACACAATAATTGTAAAATTTGTTTTATACTAAATAATGCAAAACTAAAACTAAATTCAGATATTTGCCAAAATGCATCCCTGCATTTGAATTTGAATCAATCACACGGAAAAATATGTAGATTAATAATTCGTGTAAATAAAATAATCTATTATAAGATTTAACAAAGATCAGTCGAAAGACATGATAAAAATTCAAACGCTTCGGCAAAAGCCATCATCATAACAACAAAATACCACGAATACACCAACAAATTAAATTTACATGTATATCAATATCCTATATATACCTAAAATAAAATAAAAGAATAATGATGTGTGTAGGCTGTGTTGCCGACCCCTGTACTGTATAGTCAAAATCACACCACAAGACATTTCTAATTCATTATTTTTTTCCAGTAAAGAAAATCTCATTAAAAATAATACGTTAGAAGATTATCATAGCCTCCATAAAAATACACAATGTTACATATTAAACACTGAATGTATAATAATACATAGTATTTACAATATCGGACTTCATAATATCATTATCATTATGATGCCAACCACGCTTATACTTCATACATTAAAATTTCGGCGTACCTCAATATTATCTATCTCGATTACATCTTGTATCTCGGTATTAAGTTAACCCGGGAACTTTTAAAGTGTTCGGACAATTTTTAGGTAAGTAATTAAATATAACTGGGTGCATTTTTTTGTTTAATCCCAGGATATTAAATTGAAAACTTGACACTTGCTGTTAAGGTCATGATTAACGGGAATGTAATTTTATTAAAATAATAAATGACGCCGGAAAAAATTACTAACGATTTAGCAATTTGTTTATTTAGTATTCGGACCCAGATCAGAAAAGAGTGAGAGTTGGGTTTTTAAAAATATTATTATTATTATTGTTGCGTTTTTGGACAAAAATTTGGGTAATCTTGCAGTTCAGGTGCGTATATTATTTCATAACAAATTTCGTGTTATCGCATGTAATCTTACATGTATTCTTTATAAAATGTATTCTGGACAGTATTAGTTAGCCCTAAAACTAAATTGTACAACAATGTTAATGTTGAATGTTAATCAATAACTTTTCTTTTTAGTGATTTTTACAGCCCCCATTAGTACATAGCTGATAGCGTAAACGATCTCTCCATTTTCTTGGTTTTTTAAAATTCACCCTAGATGCCAGATTGCAATTTTTCAGCTGAAAGCATATTCAGAAAAAATGAAACAAGAAATACGATTTAGGCTATATTAAATTATACCAAAACTATTTATTGATGCTTAGGCTTAACTTTTCAAACTAAAAGCATGTTCACAAAATAAATTAATATAAAATTGACTTGTATATTGGCTAGTTTTAGGAAAAGTTAAAATTATGACTTCATTATTAAACTTCAGTACCGGTTTTAAATCTCATTTCATTCACCCATGCCCATGCAGGAGCTTTTGATTGGAATTATATTTATACACTCCATATAAGTATAAGGCTAATAAGGGGGAAAAAACAATTTTGGGCCCCTATAAAAAAAAAAGGAACATCCAATTAAGTTCAACACTCCTCCTCACCCCCATATTTCATTCGGCTAAATCCAAGGACTGCTGCCACAGCATCTTTTGTGTGTTTATTATAGTTGCAGTGAATTAGGGTTTAGGTTAGGTTGAGGGATCGATTTAGGATTCAGGTTAGGTTGAGGGATCGATTTAGGGTTCAGGTTAGGCATAAGGATCGATTTAGGGTTCAGGTTAGGCATAGGGATCGATTTAGGGATCCATTCGTGAAATTCGATAGTGGCTGGCATTGTTTACTTTTCATTCTTTTTGTGAACATAGCTACAAATACTACAATTTGAAATTTTGTTTAGCATACCAACTTATACTTATAGGTGATCAAAAATCTGGCAACAGGGTTAAAAAAATATAAACAAATGGAGCTATGGAAGGTTGGGGGATGTTCAAAGACGCCTTAGAAATAAAATAAAACGAAAATAAGCGATTTATACTTCAATATTAGTTAACTATCACTGCCTGAATTTAATTTAATGAAGAATACATGTAAGTTTACACGCGATAGTACGAAATTCAATCAGAAATAATATACACACCTGAACTGCAAGATTACCAAATTTGGTATCAAATGAAATATAATTGAATAGACTATATGTTTGTAAAATTAATTCGTCAGTTTAACTAAAATAAAATACACAAATGACATTGGCATAGCCTGTGCCTTTTACTTTTAGTCTAAAGGGACCCGGGTCTGAATGGTCCGAATACTCGGCTCGCAGCCAAAGATTAAAGTGTAGTAGTTACTAAGTCTTCTAAGAGTAGTAAGAGTGAGACTTTAAGTTAGTTACTATAAAACTATGGACAGTACTATGTAGTAAAATCCTAAACATCAAATTTTCAGTAAATTCACAGAAGAGATGCCATGTTTTTTTTCCAATGGCCGCCATCTAGGTTGATAAGACCAGTTAATTCTGTCACTAAATACTAAATCTAAGTAAATGTATCCCTAAACCTAACCTGAACCCTAAATGTATCCCTAAACCTAACCTGAACCCTAAGTCACAGCAACTTTAACAAACACGCAAATGACATCGTGGCATCCTATCCTAGTTTTAGCCAAATTTTCAAATGAAAGGAGAGGAGTGTATTAGACACTGAGATACTCACACAGGCCCAAGCAGGTGTCCCCAGCTTCACTGGGCGGGACATGTTGTGCAAATGTCAGACGATTGCTTGCCCAAAAGAATACTCTGTAGTGAGCTCAAGCATGGAAGGAGGTTTGCTGGTGTTTAGAAGAAACCCTTTAAAAACACCCTTAAAGTTTAAAATTAAAGCCTCACTGAAAGCGTTCGATATAGACATGGATAATGGGGCATGGGAAGAAGGGACAAAAAACTGAGCATCATGCATGGCACTCTCTGTATACAAATACGAAGGCTTCATACAACATGAAGCCAACAGAACAGCACCTGCAAAGCCTGGGGCAACGACTCAATCGCAAGAAAATTTCACACCAGAATCGGCCTCATAGGCCATCTGTGCACCCATAGCCAAGTTCACAATTAGCACTTATATAATGATTAAGGTGGTCATAGTCAATTTCGACTGACTAACTATATTTATATATATTATAACATAACTAGAAACAAGTTGGCGGAAGAAATAATTTTTCCAATGTATATATATTTATGCACATAACATTATCCCAAACAATGATAAATGACAGGCTCAAAACACTAATGATACTGCATGGCTATAATATTTTCAATCCACACTTAATTATTCTTTTTAGACATAATCAATAGGAACACATTTTAAATAAAATTATTGTCTTAAAATACACAGCTTTTAACACAGTTTTCTTTTGCTTAAAAAAAAACGGCTTAGCCTTAGATTTTTTTTATGTGAGCCAGTTCTCCATAAAATTCAATTTAAAACATAATCACATCATGCTTTCTCAGTTTTGATCCTTTATGTAACCATTGCTATTAGACTTCTGACTCAAGCATTATAATAAAGTTCATGTAAACTAAAACATAATGGACATGGTCATATTTCCATATAAAACTAAAACATAATAGAAATAATACAAGTTAGATTTCACTCCACTTATTTCTGTGCCGCAAACACATGGAAATGTTTTTAAAAATCTGTCAGTGACTAAGTAAGCAAGATTTGTTATTGCCGCGGGTACCGCTAAAAAGATCAAAGTTCTTTCCTTGTGTGTCTGAGATTATTAAGTCTCAGTTATTTCTATTTATGACTGTTTTTTAAAAGTCATTTATTTTTAACAATATCTGATTTAAAAAATTTAAAATTAAAAAATTCACCAACGCCCCCTGCGTAAACAGTGGTGTACAGCATAGCTATAATTATAGTACCTAGAGACTAAGAGAGTGTAAACATGTTAGCAGACTCAGACAACTGCACAGACATCTCATTCATAGCACCCCAAAAAAATGTATTAGCTATTAAAGTATTATGTGAAATTGCTTGGAGAGCTATTTAGACTAAGTAGTAGTGCCATCACCATTTTAACCACACACAGGCCGTCTTCCCCTTAAATATGACCATGTCCATAGAAACACACAAAAAATCCACTATTCACCTAAGGCCAACTTTTAAATCAGTTTTTCAACCATAGTAACCTGTATCCTACTCCTAGGAAGTTAGAAACTGAAGCTCGGGATTTCACAAACTTCTACTACGTACTACGGTAATAATATTTACTAAGGCCAGAGTTATGCATAGCCCAATGCACACTACACATATAATATGCCTTACACAGGGAAGGGGGGGGGGGCTTCATTTCATGATCTAAAAGTTTTCTCAACAAATCTTCTTTTGCATGTAAAGAACATTACTAATGATACAATGTATTTGATTTCAGTTTGAATTCAATATGGAGCCTATAGGTTGCACTGATGGTATGAAATCTGGTTTGGAAGCTTCAGATGATATTTCCACTGAAGATTTGCATCAAATGAAAACTAGACTTGAAGATGAACTGCATCACCTTTTGGTAGCCCAGTCAGCAGGTAAAAAATACTTTCTACTTTTGATAGCAACTTGCATTTCATTTCGTGCACAAATTGAACAAAAGAAGAACTAAAGGTTTTGCTCATGAAAATGTGTACTATCGTTGAACTGTTTATTGGCAGATAATCTGTAATCTTACTTTTTTTTTTACTGAGTAATCAGAATCAGTTGATGTAGCAATTTCCATTAATCGAAATTCGCTCATTGGCTATTCGTTGCTTACAATTATAAATATACGGCAATAACTTTTTTATGTACCAATATACTTTAGTATGGGGGCACCAGTAGATAGGTTACACACTTAGTTTGGGCATGTCAAAGTGGGTGTTTGCGGTTGACACGCAGATATGTCACACTAAAAATCTCGGTAGTTACATACCCCGTTTTTAACGTAAATATCTTATAATATAATTCCAGAGTGGATCTTTCTTGTCCGCCCCACACTCATTGTGCTCCATGCTGTGCTCTCGTTTGCTGCTCCCCCCACCCCCACCCCATAGTACGGTTAATCACATATGCATCAAATGCACACCAAAGAACTATATGTTTATGTCATTGAGTTTCAAACAGAGGCGTAGCTAGAGTGTTTGGCACCCGGGGACAAGATTTGCGCCTGGGGACAAGATTCATTTCAAAGCGCCCCCTTTTCTTTTTTTTAACTCTCAAACCCTTTGTTTTTATCAATAAAATAATATCATCACATTTTGGCGCCCCTAACTAGTATGAAATCATTTAACTAACACTGAGAGGGTATCAAAATAATGTAGGTACATATTTTGTATTTTATCTTTATCTCTTACTTCATGGAATAATATTTCTGTAAAGAAACTATAGGTCTGTTTACATATTCTCTTTGCAAATATAGCTCATCAAGAAAGTAGTCCTTGTAGCATTGAAGAACTCACTAGTAGGTGAGTAATTCAGCTGGGAAATTTTATCCATGCTTTTAAAAATGAAAAAAAAAAATCTTTTTTGGATATAAAAATTATTTCAGATTATAAGATAAGATAATATTCTTTATTATCCAAATAAATTGAAATGTTTTTATCATTATATGGTACATATTCATTTTCAGCACATAAATAATTATTTAACCAAGACAACAATTTTCAAGTTCAACTATAACAATTTAAAGAGAAGACATCTAAAGTATTTCTCTAGCAGTCTAGCATAGATTTTCAGCCATAAATGAACTTCTTCAGTGAAAATAATGACTAAATTAGTGATCATTTGATGTTTAACGTGTTTTATAAGTTAAATTCTCCAACAAATGCTTACAAAATATATCGGGGAAATAAACTAAGCCCATAACAAGGCAATCTTTTTTAAATGGATTTTCAGAACTGCCAACCTGATGCAAAAATTTGCAGTAGAGTCCAACACTTTTTCTAGAAATGAACTTTTAGTCAAAAGGTGAGTCTTGCTGCAGATATGCTACTATTTGACATATGATTACAGTATATATTCTTCAAATTTAAAAAGTAGAGAGGTTTAATTAAATAAGAAGGCTTTTTTTTTCTTCTTTTTTTTACTTTGTTTCAATTTCAATCTAACTTTATTTGATATTATCAAATCTTTGATAGAATACAGTTTGGAAAATTGCTGTGTGCAGAAATTTTCAACAGAGACAGTGACAGCAATGGACATCTTCAAGGAATGTAAGGAGATAATGAATCTTATATTTGATAGACAGAAGGAGTCCCAATAACTGATGCTGGTTTAAAGTGTATTTAATCAAATAATGAGCATTTAAAGCTTTTTCACGTAGCAGAACTATGATGCAGGGAACATTTAAAACTTTCTCACATAGCAGAACTATGATGCAGGGAACATTTAAAACTTTCTCACATAGCAGAACTATGATGCAGGGAACATTTAAAACTTTCTCACATAGCAGAACTATAATGCAGGGAACATTTAAACTTTAAAAAAAACAACGGTAGGCCACCCCTGATTAATGTGAGATCTCTCTTTCTCAGCTTCACCCCCACTGTTTTTAATTGTACATAATTTTAATGAACTAGTTTCAATATTTCCATTTTAAGTATGTGAGGTAGTGTTCCCAGTTAACAGATTGTACACCATTATTAAGTAATTTATTTTATCCTTCCTAGTTTAAAGAAAACCCATGCTGCAACAGAAATTATAAGAATTCACAAGGTAAGTGTCAAGATTTATTTCCTTCTACCTCTTTTAAAAAATGAAATGTAGGCCTACCGTTAATGTAATTGGTAAAAATTGTAACTTTTTCTAGTGCTTCTGTTATGGTTGTCTGCAGGATTAGATTTCTGGTAACCAGATCCTTCCACCTCTGTTGTTTTCCACTTTTCATCTTTATGATGTGTTCTTCACTTTTCATCTCTATTGTTCTGTACATCTATCTCTATTGTTCTGTACATCTATCTCTATTGTTCTCCACCTTCCATCTTTATTGTTCTGTACCTTTACTCTTTCTTTCTCCTGCAGTTTTGTTTTCTTTCATCTTTCCAAACACTATTGCAAGCAACGTAGACCTTGCTACCTGCTTTCTTGTTCACTATTGCAAGCTACTTTGACCTTGCTCCCTGATTTCTTGTTCACTATTGCAAGCTACTTTTACCTTGCTACCTGATTTCTCGACCTTTATCTCTAGGTACTTTAACTTTTTCCCATACTCCAGTGGGGTACTGTCCCTTTGTCATGTAATCTAATAAGTAGCATTATTTCTCCTCATCTGCATAGTCTTGATGTTGAATATTGGGAAAATATTGATCTGACATTATAATTACTTGATGTTTTATAAATATGCAAGCTTCATGTCTTTGTAAAAACAGTTTATTCTATTCCTCAGGAAATCTGTGAAAATCAAGAAAAATTGGAGGCGCAGAAGTTGGAGAACTTAGGTCAGTTTACTCACATGCCTTAGCCTAGGGATGACCACTTATAAAACTTAGCCTAAGGATGACCACTTATATAACTTAGCCTAGGGATGTCCACTAATATAACTTAACCCTAAGGATGACCACTTATATAATTTAGCCTGGGGATGACCACTTATATAACTTAGCCTAAGGATGACCACTTATATAACTTAGCCTGGTTATGTCAATCTATATAACTTAGCCTGGTGATGTTAATCTATAAAACTTAGCCTGGTGGTGTCAATCTATATAACTTAGCCTGGTGGTGTCAATCTATATAACTTAGCCTGGTGGTGTCAATCTATATAACTTAGCCTGGTGGTGTCAATCTATATAACTTAGCCTGGTGGGGTGGTGTCAATCTATAAAACTTAGCCTGGTGGTGTCAATCTATATAACTTAGCCTGGTGGTGTCAATCTATATAACTTAGCCGGGAGATGTAAACCTATATAACTTAGCCTGGTGGGTCAACCTATATAACTTAGCCTGATGATGTCAACCTATGTACCTTAGCCTGGTGCTGTTAATCTACATACCATAGCCTAGTGATGTCAACCAATATCTATATAACTCCGCTAGTTGATGTTGACTCACAGGACTAATCTTGCTAATGTTTACCTATTTTTTGGCCATGATGAGTTTAACCTATTTAACTACCCTTGTTGATGTTGACCTATTAAATAATCTTGATGAGGTTGACCTTGTTAACTAGCCTTGTTGAGGATGACCTATTTAGCCTTGGTGAGGTTTTTGGCTGGAGAAGGGGGTTGAATTTTTTTCCCCTGGCCTGAACTTTTCTGCTGGTGGATCTGATTACAAGAGTAATAGGTTATTGTAGCAGGTTAGGGAGAAAGTTAGAATATTATCCAACCTGGCAATGCTCGATTTTTTCCTTTTTAACCTTCCGGCGTGCTGGTTCTTTTCACAAAGAGACCGGGCGCGATGGATCAATTTGATATTGCTAATGAGTGACTGGTTAAATTATTTTATTTTAGTGAAAATTTGTCTAATAATTATTTTTTTAAGTTCTTTAACCAACATAAAATATAAAATTATCCCCAATAATTATTTTTTTGAATTTCCTCTATTCACTTGATATTCTTAAAATCAAACATTTTCTACCACCTGCCATTTTAGACAGCCGAAGTAACCTGAAGTATATAAGGATCAGTACAGATATCTTGTTTTGGCATAATATATCAATCTGATTTTTACTATTTAATAATAAAATAATGTATCAGTAAGTATACTAATATGAAAAAGTAACTTCCCAGAGCAGACAAATAATAGCATTGTCAAACTTCAAAAAAGGTAACGTGCAAAGGCGTGGTGTATCAATTCGAAATACACACTGAAAGCGCTTACTACACACACAACGGCCTTGGCCTGAAAAGTACAGCTCGCTGTCATCTCTCATTAATGTGCGCGAAACAAAAACGGTTGTATCAATCTGATCAAGCGCGCCCGATGGAAGGTTAAAAGTATTTAAATCTCACAATACTTATTTTTAAAAAACCGTTCAATGGTGTTTTGTTTGTAACTGTCAAAATTAATCTTTGACTGATAAATCTGTTTAAGATGTTAGTTAGATGTAATAGGTTTGTGCATTTGGTTATAAATGAGAAGAGATACAAAATGAAAAGTGCATGTAACAAGTCCAACAGGAAATAGTCATGTCATTAGCATTGCATTTCTTTTCCTTTATTTTTGACAGTCTTTGTGTCTGACTTTTTGCAGAGCTAAGAAAAGAAAACTTAAGTTTAATGGAGCAAATTAAAAACTGGAAAGATCTACATAATAATGTACCAGCTGAAGTAGCCAGTAGCAGAGAGTATCAAAAGTAAGTATAAAACATAAAACAGTGGCTGAGAATATGGACAATAATTTCAGCGTATACTAAAGACAACAGTTGCTCTCATGACATACACACAAGTTTTCATTCCATCACCATCAGCAGATCCTGTTGAAATTTGAACTCGTACTCCCACGTCCGCTAGTCATCATGATACAAAATACCTTGACATTGAGAACATTTAAGATTTATGAAGATTTATTGGTCCATGCTAAAGTTTTTTGGCTGTTAAATTGCAAGAGTAATGTTTGTTTTCGTTAGCTATTAGCAGTGTAGTGGAGTTTTTGGCTGCACAAATTCTTCTCTCAGTAGTGACCTCAAAGAAGTCAGGCATGCTGTTTCTGTTTGTCTGAAATATTTTTCAAATTCAATCAAATAAATTTAAATTTGCAATGGAAAGAGTTTAAAGTCCTAAAATCCAAATGTATGTTTTCATCTTTGGTATTAAAGTTAAATCATCTTGGTAACTACTGATGGTGCACCTGTCATGGTTGGATCTACCAAGGGACTTTCGCAGCCGCTCATTGACCATTGCCCCTCTGTCGGCTGTGCGCAGGAAATACGCAAGGTGCATCGCATTAGTCACCAAGAGTCATTGTATGCCTAGGTGGCAGGCATGTAGGATATTATGTCTGTTGTCATGAAGTTAGTGAAAGCAGTGCCTCCCTGTTCTCTCAACCAACGCATCTTCAAGCACATGTGCGCTGTGTCAGTAGTGGCAACATCTTGAAGCATGTCTTTGTCCTACAGCACCAGATCGTTTCTTTTATCAGTGATAGGGCTTTCAAAAGTTCTCTGGCGAGGGTTGGCTCTGTTTGTTTGGTTTCCTTATAACAAGGACTCCGCTCCTTATAAAAACATTTAGAATATCAGCCAATATAAATGATAAATAGGACACGTGATGTGTGGCTTGGCCAAATTTAGAAAGAACTCTTCTGTTTCATAATTGGAGGTACCACTTACAGTATCAACATTGCAGCAGCACATTTTTAAAAAAAAACATTTGAGCATAAGTTAAATGTATCAAAACGGTTTAAGTGTCAACATGTAATAGCCCAGGAAAAAATGGTTTTTACTATTTTCTTCTTGCAAAGATTTTCAAGGGAGTACTATGCAATAAACTATCTCAATCTCTGAGTACCATGCAATAAACTATCTCATCTCTGAGTACCATGCTATAAACTATCTCAATCTTTTAGTACCATGCCATTAACTATCTCAATCTCTGACTTTCAGATTGAAGAAGGATCTTGAAATGAGGACCATGGCGGTGACCATCAACAAGTCCATCATCAAACATTTGATCCTAGGAATGGGAGTAGACTGGAGTGAAGACCCTGAGCTTTGTCAACTGTTGTTAGAGTCCAGTGGACCTCTTCAGTGATGAGCTACACATGCGATGACAAGAGGTGATATCCTCCAAGCTGAAACAATCCCCTCAGATGACAACAACACAATCAACTTTCATGTCCAAACATACTCTTTGTTCACAAACAATGTACTGAAGTTTGTTGACATTGTTTCAAGACATGCATCTATAGATACGAGTCAGCGTACATTAACGTTATTTTATTTGACATTGTTCCAAGATTGTGATTCGGTCTAGACACTGCATTAAGTACTGTGCCATATTTTAATGTTATAGATATATTAAGAATATGTTTTAGGACCATATTGCTGGTGACGTCTGTGTGAGTTTACCAAAACTGTTGCGTTTCATTACTGCTTTGAACAAAACTTTATGAGTTGGAACTAGGGGCTAAAGCAAATTGTCTTGCAATTGTATGGCATTCATTTCTCTATCAGTTTCAATAAAAAACGGAATCAAATCTGATTCAAACCTAAAACTAAATATTCACTTGGCTGCTCTCACTGTCACTACTTTCTGCATGGGGTGCCCATCAACTCAATGGTCTTTTGTTTAAGCATGGGGGCCCATGAAGCCATGAACTAAATGTTCTTTGTTTCAGCTCAGTTGGATATCAGGAAGTGGGTCAAAATTGAGTTGCAAGATATGACAGCACAACCTAACAGACCAAGCAAACTGAGAAGAGAAAAAAAAGTCATCAACATCACCGTATTTCATGGGCGCCACATGCTTTTTATAATCTTTTATTGCTTTTCTTTGTTGGTGGCTGGCTGACAATCAAAATCTTGGTGCCGTTGCAAGCCTTGAGGAGGGGAGCACTAATTGGGATTCTTATAAAGGGCGATACTTGTTGACATGTTTTGTCAAAGTTTCAGCCTCACCCCCGCATTGCTCGATGTTACATTTTATAAAGGATTGATACAAAATAATTGTTTTCAGGGGTTGTTGAATTTGTCCGATGACTGTAACAACTCAAGTTTTATGGGCCATTTCTTTTAAACATTTTTATTAAATTTTTGGAAAAGTGCGTCTTTTAAAAAGAATTTATTATATTGTGTTCTTGTGTACTTTTTAGTTAAAGTGTATAAAGTTTCAGCTCATTGGAGATAAGGAAGTGGGTCAAAGTTGATACGCAAGATTTGACCTGCAGAGGCAACTCAAGGTTCATTGGAGGTAACTTGTGACCCACTGATCATGATGGGTTGTATTTCTTAGGTTTGGGTGGGGATGTAAGTGTAAAAAGTTTTAGCTCAACTAAAGATCAAGAAGTGGGTCTATGTTGAGCTGCATTGACACAGACATAAGCAGACTAAATCGCAAGCTAAAAAAAAAAATGTAAAAAAAAAAAGTTTTTTTAAAATTTTATGTGCTATGTATGTAAAATATTAAACATTGATAATTGACTACTCTTCTTATATTTCTTTATGTTAGTCAGTCAAATGACCAGTTAAGTGTTCTTTGTTACTGTGATCATAATATGATATAACCCATTGTAAAAAAAAGTTCTTGAATGTGCTAACAGTAAAATTTGAATAAATGGTACATCTATGAAGGTGCTAACATTTGAATAAATGGCACATCTGTGAAGGTGCTAACATATGCATAAATTGCACATCTGTGCAGGTGCTATCATTTGAATAAATAGCACATCAATGAAGGTGCTAACATTTGAATAAATGGCACATCTGTGAAGGTGCTAACATTTGAATAAATGGCACATCTGTGAAGGTAAGGGAAAAGTTTGGTGTTAAGTGGTAAGAAAAGCATGGCATGGGAGAAATATGGTTGACCGTGGGTTGGAGAGAATGTTTGAACTAAGAAATATGGTTGGCCGTAGGTTGGAGAGAATATTTGGACTAAGAAATAGGGTTGACTGTAGGTTGGAGAGAATGTTTGGACTAAGAAATAGGGTTGACCGTAGGTTGGAGAGAATATTTGGACTAAGAAATAGGGTTGACCGTAGGTTGGAGAGAATGTTTGGACTAAGAAATAGGGTTGACTGTAGGTTGGAGAGAATGTTTGGACTAAGAAATAGGGTTGACCGTAGTTTGGAGAGAATATTTGGACTTAGAAATAGGGTTGACCGTAGGTTGGAGAGAATGTTTGGACTAAGAAATAGGGTTGACCGTAGTTTGGAGAGAATATTTGGACTTAGAAATAGGGTTGACCATAGGTTGGAGAGAATATTTGGACTAAGAAATAGGGTTGACTGTAGGTTGGAGAGAATGTTTGGACTAAGAAATAGCGTTGACCGTAGGTTGGAGAGAATGTTTGGACTAAGAAATAGCGTTGACCGTAGGTTGGAGAGAATGTTTGGACTAGGAAATAGGGTTAACCGTAGGTTGGAGAGAATGTTTGAACTAAGAAATAGGGTTGACCGTAGGTTGGAGAGAATGTTTGGACTAAGAAATAGGGTTGACCGTAGGTTGGAGAGAATGATTGGACTAAGAAATAGCGTTGACCGTTGGTTGGAGAGAGTGTTTGGACTAAGAAATAGGGTTGACCGTAGGTTGGAGACAATGTTTGGACTAAGAAATAGGGTTGACCGTAGGTTGGAGAGAATTTTTGGACTAAGAAGTAAGATGGACCAGATGTTGGAAAGACTGGATAGTGAGACTACTTTGAAATTATTGACAGCCCAAACATCCAAGACCACTCGGTGAAATGTAGTGTTGGATAACATCCAATGCATAATTTTAAGATGCTGATATGGACCAGGTAATGCACTCGGTAATTATGTACATTAACATGGGCCAGAGTGGGCGGGGAGAGGGTGTGATGGGAACTGTGTAGGTGGGAGAGGGTGTGGAGGGACCTGTGTAGGTGGGGAGAAGGTTTGGTGGGACCTATATAGGTGGGGAGAAGGTGGTGGGACCTGTGTAGGTGAGGAGGTGTGGTGGGACCTGTGTAGGTTGGGAGAAGGTCTGGTGGGACCTGTGTAGGTTGGGAGAAGGTCTGATGGGACCTATGTAGGTGGGAAGAAGGTGTGGTGGGACCTGTGTAGGTGAGGAGAAGGTGAGGTGTGGTGGGACCTGTGTAGGTTGGGAGAAGGTCTGATGGGACCTATGTAGGTGGGGAGAAGGTGTGGTGGGACCTGTGTAGGTGAGGAGAAGGTGTGGTGGGACCTGTGTAGGTGAGGAGAAGGTCTGGTGGGACCTGTGTGGGTGAGGAGAAGGTCTGGTGGGACCTGTATAGGTGGGGAGAAGGTCTGATGGGACCTTTGTAGGTGGGGAGAAGGTGTGGTGGGACCTGTGTAGGTGGGGAGAAGGTCTGGTGGGACCTGTGTAGGTGAGGAGAAGGTGTGGTGGGACCTGTGTAGGTGGGGAGAAGGTCTGGTGGGTCAAGTGTAGGTGGGAAGAGGGTGTGGTGGGATCTGTGAAGGTGGGGAGAAGGTGTGGTGGGATCTGTGTAGGTGGGGAGAGGGTCTGGTGGGTCAAGTGTAGGTGGGGGGAGGGTGTGGTGGGACCTGTGTTGGTGGGGAGAAGGTCTGTAGGGCAAGTGTAGGTGGGGAGAAAGTGTGGTGGGGCCTGTGTAGGTGGAGAGAAGGTGTGGTGGGGCAAGTGTAGGTGGGGAGAGGGTGTGGTGGGACCTGTGAAGGTGGGGAGAAGGTGTGGTGGGGCCAGTGTAGGTGAGGAGAAGGTGTGGTGGGACCTGTGTAGGTGGGGAGAAGGTGTGGTGGGGCCAGTGTAGGTGAGGAGAAGGTGTGGTGGGACCTGTGTAGGTGGGGAGAAGGTGTGGTGGGACATGTGTAGGTGGTGAGAGGG